GCGTAAGCCAACACAACCCTACAACATCCAGAGCCTTGAGGAACTCCGGGCGGATCTCAATATAAAACAATATACCCGATAATGAGCTTTGAGCAAACCTTTTTCATGACCGGAACAAAATGTGTGACTACAGTCAGCCAAAGAAGAAAAGACATGTAGAGGAGGGAAACGCCAACACAGACAGAGGTACAGCAAAGAAGCGGCTATGGCAGAGTGGTTAGGGGAGTCATCCTGGAACCGGTAGGTTGCTGGTTCAATCCCCCATTCTAGCTGTCTCAGTTGTGTCCTTGGGCAAGACACTTCACCCCAGTGCCTCTGATGTGTGTCATCAGTGTATGAATGTGATTAGTCTCTATAAATAATTTGTACATGTTAGCTTTGCAGAGATCTAGTAGAGTGCTGTGTGAATGGGTAAATGAGGACAGATTGTAGTGTGAAGCGCTTTGAGTGTCCTGGTTGGATAGAAAGAAGCTATACAAGTAAAGCCCATTTACAGTAAAACAAGAAAAGAGTCGTGGCAGAAAGAGAATAACTTCAACTGACTGTGGTTTGTTAATCAATATTATCAGCTGAGCTAAAAGAACACCATCAAATACTGTGATACAGGTATAATTGTTGAAAATACCATGATACATATTTGGGCCATACCACCCAGCACTATTGGCAAGTCTCATTGCAAAGTGTACAACACAGGGACAACCTGTCCAGAAAGTGAAAAGTCACATTAAGTTCTTCCTGCTAATTCACTTGAGCAAGATTTTTATAGAAACTATAGCTTAGACATGTAGGGATTTTTTTCTTGACGTGTGTTTGAAAAGCAACAAGCATGTTTCTGTTTACCTGACATGGTGAGGTCCAGTCTGTGGATCAGAGAGCGCTTGGCTGATTCTATCTCAGGACTGGGGCTGTCCAGAGTCTGGCGGCACCACACTATAGGACTCAAGGCTTTTTGTAAGGGACTGTTCAGTTTGGCCTCATATAACCTGGGGATAGAAAACACAGCTAACTTAACAGAAATGTTCACTCTCAGTTCTGTTCAGTTTATCACACACACACACACCTTAAAAAAAAAAACACAAGGACACTTCACAAAGCAAAGCAAGTGTAATTAAAATCCAATTAAAGAATCCAGTTAACTTAACTTCTTCAACCAGTTATGACAGCTCACGTTTTTCAAAACATTTATTTGGAACCAGTTTTACCACAGTTTGTAAAACTTAGTAGACTACAGCAGAGGTTCTCAAACTGGGGTCCCAGGATCCCCAGGGGTCCGCAAGTTGTATCTTGGGGGTCCTAAAAAAATTTCAGTAAATTGTTAATTTGGTTTTTATTTTAAAAAATGCATATGGGGAACAATGTACTAGTAAAACAAACACACAAACCAAACAAAAAAATTCTATGCCCATGGAATTCAGGGGTTAAAATGACAGCATGGGGTTTATGAGGGGGTCTCTGGAAAATTTTCACCTTTATAAGGAGTCCCCAGACCCAAAATGTTTGAGAACCCATGGTCTGCAGGATTTGTCAAAGGTTCTCAGTTTAATGCTTAGTCAGCTGTATTTATTTGAAGTGCTGAAACATCTGATTGATCAAAAGGCAACAAACGAGTAAAGTTTAGCTACAAGCTGTCATCAAACAGCATTAATATCTGTTGGWCAGTTATAAAAACACACAAATATCAGTTCATGGTTCTGAGGAGAGGAGGAATCTGAGTCAGCAGCTGTCAGCACTGTGGAAACAGCTGAGATGTTGCAGGGAAAATAAAGCTTGTGCGAGGAAATATCCATCCATTAGCATTAGCTTTACCCTCTTTTCTACTCTGGGTCACGGGGGTCAGTGGTACCCATGTCCAACAGTCACTGTTCAACAAGCGGGGTACACCCTGTAGGTCACAAGTCCATCACAGGGTCACATGGACACAAACAGTAGTCACACTCTCACTCTACAGACATTTAGTTACAAATTAACCTGATGTTTCTAGTCTATAGAAGGAAACTAGAGAAAACCCTTGCATGCACGGAGAGAACATGTAAACTTCACCTGGAAAAGTCCCAGGCTCAGAGGCAATAACTCTACTAACTGCGCCCTGCATGTTCATAAACACACTGATTGTGCAGCGGGTGCTTCATAAAGCTACATCTCCATGCTCAGATGGGAAGAGCTCTGCAGAGACAGGGAGCCGTTCAAATCCAGCCTGATGCTAATTCATGGGATTACAGGAGTCTGTGACAGGAGCTGGAGAGAACCTGGCACTACTGGGTAATCCCAGATATCAATCTGATGCAAAGGGCAGAGTAAACAGTCTGAGAAGAACGAGACTGGCTCTGGCGAGCACGAGTGAGCAATATGTGACAGTACCCTGGCATCAAGGGAATGCAACACAAAGGATTGCTTTAAAGAATGCTAAATAATAATGAAATGGGATTTTGTTTTTAGACTATGGAGCAAATTGACTATTTTGATGTAGTAAATGAAGAAAAATAAAACTGACTTACATCAGATGTCAGGTTGCATCAAAAGCTGGGCACTAATACTGCCCATAATAGATCCTGAACACAGCAGAAGCCAACTAAAGGAGCTCTCATTGGAAAAAACTAATAAGCATTTCTTTAAGGAGAAATCATCATTACGTTTAAGTTTAGTCAGCAATGACTGTCTCACAAAAAACCAACCATCTAATAAACTAGATACTGCATAGCGGTAACATAATGACCCCTACACGCATAAATGCACCAGAACTCAGAAGTCTTTTTTCCTAATAAATGTCATGCTACTAGGTGCATCCCAAAATTGTAGTGGTTTGGGTGGGGGTCTTTTTGATTTGGGGTGGGGGGCACTGATTGGTGGGCCTGATGGATAGAGCTTCATCAGAGCTAAACAACAAAAGAAATCTGAAGCTCCTACGTTGAACAGTTTGAGTTATAAGCATTTTTGCACGTCCAGACACCACCTCTTTGGATGGAGCCCCCTCCTCAAATATGGGGTCTATCGTAAAACCTTTGGCTGGCGCAGTGTAGGTCAGACTCATCTACAGTCCTGCCAAATTTCATGTTGATTGGTGCAGCTGTTTTTGTGCTACAGTTGACCAAAAATCACTGAAAAAAAAAAACTGTACGAAAACAATACGACCTGCTTACGCTTCGCCTGAGGGGGGTCATAATTATAAAGCTCCTGTAAACTCAAATACTGTTAATTACCTTGGAGAAATGCATACTGACCACTGCCTTTCATGCCAGAGTTTTAGACTAAAAATATTTTAAACTTTAGAAATTACAGTTATAAATATTTTGGTCAAAMCTTGAAAGTAATGCTCTATTTATTTATTAACCTTTATTCAACGAGACAAGTCCCACTGAGATCACAGATCTCTTTAGTTATTATTTCTATCATGTTTTTTCTTTGTCTTCCAGAAGAAGATGCACCTGGACCAGTCCTGGACCAGTTCTTCTGTGTTTTTCTGTGTCTCTTTCCTGTCCCTCAACCAGCTGGTCGAGGCAGATGGCCGCCTGTCCTGAGCCTGGTTCTGCTGGAGGTTTCTTCCTGATTAGCAGGGAGTTTTWCCTCTMCACCGTTTGCTCAGGATGGGAGACTGTGATGAAGTGATTCAACGCAGACTGCTGGTTTCTTCTTTAGATTATGTTTTTTATGTACAGTGCCCTGAGACAACATGTTGTGACTTGGTGCTATATAAATAAACTTGAACYTTTGGAAGGGAGGCCTGAAGGCAACCTATTGTACCTGTTTTTGTGCTGTGGGAGAAATCAGAGTACCTGGGGAAAACTCATGCAAACATGAGAACATGCAAACTCCACACAGAAAGACCCCAGGTCCAAACTGGGAACCGAACCCAGGACCTCCTCGCTGTGAGGCATCAGTGCTAACCACTGAGCCTCTGTTCTGCTCAATCTCAAGATGTCATGCTCAGACTGTTTTTAGAAATGACTCAAATACTATCATATAAACTTTTTAACTTACTGGTAATATTTGTAAAACTGAGTTGCAGCCATTTATATGTTGACTAAGTTTGGGGGTGTCAAACTCTTTTTCACCGAGGGCCACGTGAGCGTTATGGTGGCCCTCGAAGGGCCACTTGTAATGAACTTTGATGTTTCATGTTAAACTTTGACTAAACAGTGTTTTAACATGTCCTCTTTTAAACACTGATAAGAACTAAGTGTACGACTGACTAAATCTGAAATAAACACAAATATTATTAAAACAAAAGTTTTACTCACTGATGAGTTTCTAGTGAGTAGCTGCATTATGGCAGATTTAGTTTATGTTTTATGGTGACTTTAAAGCAGCTTATTTT